CCTCTTGTTCCTCCCACGCTCTTCTGGGGAGCTAAGAACATGTTTATCTCCCTGAGCCTGGCCTTCATAATTCAATTCCATCACAGAAAGAGAGCAAGTGTGATGAAATGGTTAAGGTGTTGGACTAGGACCAGGGTGACCCTCATTCAAATCTACTCTCACCTATGGGAACACACTGGTGACCTTGGGCCAGTCACACACACTCAGCTCAACCTACCCCACAGCGTATGGGGATAAAAGTGAAGATCCCCAAGTAAGCTACCTTGAACTACAGGAGAAAGGGTGAGAGATAAACCCAACAAATGAATACAACATTTGAAAAATTCAAGGCAGATTTCATTACAGCTTAAGCTGAAGCAGATTCCATGTTAGTTGCAGGGATCTCCTAATGGGTTTACAAGTGACAACCATGCCAGGAGTCATCTATGCAAGCACTTGCAGAGTTCCAAGCATGGGGAAATGAATATTCATGAGTTTCAGTGCTAGGAGCAGCCAACAGGAATGCCCATGACTTTCAGAAATGTCTGAGCAGATTCCATCCTGTTGCAAAATCTTGGCTCTGCATTTCAATGGCTTATTCTTTTCTAGGCAACTTGCTGTCACCTGCCCATCTTGACTGGGACATGCTGTTGGAGCCCCCATACCTTTTCAGCCCATCACCAGCCTTGGAGCAAGGAACGCGTGACAGCAACCCCTGGCCGCCTCTCCAGTGCCAGGTGGTGATCCATGCACTCAGTGCAGGGAAGCCAATCTCCTGGGCGGTGACCATTGGCCTGGATTCCCTGTTCCTTCCCAAAGACAGCCCGGAGCTGTCCCAGTGGCAACAGCCCAGCACAGGATTTGAGAAACTACTTCACCGTCTGACTGCTGGCTCTGTTATCCGGGATAACGAGAATGTAGCTCAGAGAGAAGCAGAACTGGACCATGGTAATGCTCCTTTTCCTCCGTTTTCCTGTCTTCAAGTTTAGTTTAGTCTTAGCTACAACCAGTTTTGGGATAGGTCTGTTCCCCCCCGCCCAAAATTAGATGGATTGTGGTGGGCTAACAATTTTCCCAGCAAATCCTTAGCCTTATCTGGCTTCTTTAACCTCCAAGTGTTGATTTGAAAGGCCAATTCCTGGTATTCTAGAAGATGAATGTGTTGCTGGGTGGTGGAGCACTCAACATTTCCTATCAAGAACAGCCAAATTAATCAAGCTCATTTGCATGCTGTTGATCTTTTAAAGCTCATCCTGGAAGCTGGGAGAATGAATTGTTTCTTTAAAGAAAAAATGTAACAGAAGTGGATCTCAGGTGCTCCATTTTCTTACATACACAGCTTGCCTATTCTGATCTCCCACATCCATCTTCTTCATACTGTTTTAACTATCAGTTTAGTGGGTGCAAAGTGCAGCAGTCCAGCTAGTGTCTGGTGTGTGTGTTTTATAGACCATACAATTCTACTTTTGAAACATTTTTCAAGACTTTTCCAGATTTTCTTTCCTACATATAAAGCCCTAAGCAGCTGGGACCCAGGTGTAATAAAAGCCTATTTTCCTTATGAAACTAGCCTAGTCTATTGTTTTGGGTTTTTTTTA